GGCCGGCGCGGCTCGGCACGGAGCGGGGCAAACGCCGCGACGGCGCGGGCTCCCGGCCCGGCCCGCGGCCCGCGCCCTCCCCCGCGCGGACGGCCGCGGCGGGCCCGCGCCGCCTTGCTTCCCGAAGCACTTTCCTGCCTCGGGCAGAAATAAACCGGAGGGTTTATTTTGTGCAACTTTCCCAAAATGGCGGAAATTGGAGCTGATCTATATGAAATTCTCACACAGTCGGTCGGGAAGGGGGAGGCGGCGAGGAAGAAAACGCAAACTCTCGGCCGCCGAGCCCCGCCGCGGGTCCGCGAGTGTGTGCGTGCGTGTGAGTGTGCGTGTGCGCGGTGGGAGTCGGGGAGGCCTTTCCGCCGCGCACACACACAGCACACGCCGGGGAGACGCGCCTGCACATTCAACCAGTCCATTCTCCGCAGCCCGAGCGGGGAGAAAGTGGCCCGGCCTCTTTTCCCACTGCCTCGGTCTCCCGTACTTGTACTTCTCGCGCTCGCTCGCTCACTCGCTCGCTCTCCGGTGCGCGCCCGGCACAAAGGCCACACGGGCGGAGGGGGCCGCAGGGGCGGCGCGCGGAGCTCGCGCCTCCCGCCGCACCGATCCGCCGCCCCGGCCGCCCCCGCGCCCCCCCGCCGGCGCCCCCCGCCTCGGCGGCCGCGCTCGCCGCCCGGGCTGCAGCTCCACGGCGCCCACTCGGGCACGCACCCCGGCGGAGCCCGGCGCCGCCGCGCTCCCCCACCCCGCGCCCGGTGTCATGAAAGCGACCAAAGTGACAAGCTCGGGGGGCGCGGGGGAGGGGGCCCACACGCATCCCGCCGCCTGCGCGCCGGCGAGAGCCCGACGCGGCCGCCTCGCCCCGGCTCCCTTCAGCACGGCCCCCCACACCCTTCCCCGTGTGCGCGCAAAGAAAAAAATACAAGTCTCTCCTCCCCCCATTTTTTCCTTTCTCTTTTCTCTCTCTTTTGTTCCTCTTTCACACTCGCACTCACTACTTCAGAGTGAGATGCCCAGAGACTCCCCCTCCAGCCGTTTCCGAGTCACTTGCCCACTTTTTTTCCCCGGGATTAAGTTTTCTCCTCTTTCCCAGAGGCGCAGAGAAGTGGGGGAGAAACCCCTTCTGTCCTTTCCCCTCCCCTGATCTGTTTCACAAGACGAGGGTGCGCTTCCTTCTCTCTATAGGTCTCTTAACTTTCATCCTCACCCAGAAAAATAAATGAATGGCTTTTGCACGGACAAATCTTCTGATTAATTAGAGATTAGATCCGATCAACCGCTTCTTACCCCCAAATTTTCTCTTTTTTTTTTCTCCGTCTCACGAGTAGTCCTGACAAATGGTCCAGGGCTGCGGGCGCAGTGCGCATGTGCGCGTAGAGTCAGGGCTGGGGAGAGGGGAAACTGCGCTGGTGCTGGTGCCGCCGCGGCCGCCGCCGCTGCCGGGGAGGCTCGCGCTGGCTTCCCTGTTACTGCTACTGCGCCTTCGCCGCTGGAAAGCAGCAATAAAGCCGGTTGGCAAATCAGCTGCCCGCAGATAGTGTTTCAGGTGCATCTTTTCAGTACCCTTGTCACCGGCTCAGGGCTGGTGCCAGAACAGTCAAAACAAATACGAAAGACTGCTCAGGTTGTAGATTTCTTTGTCTATTTTTCACTTTACTTTTTTTTTTTTTAAGGCAATTCTCAGAGCAGCTAATCCAGCATGTACTGTAAATGGATTCATTCAGCCATTAAAGAGTGGGCCTTGGTCTTATACAAACACTACCCACAGGCTCAATGCATGCTACAGGTCGTGAAAAATAAGAAACTTTTAAGCTTCTAGCTGTAGAACCTCCCCCGGTTTGAGGACTGGAAGAATGCACGGGTTAAGTGTGCGTGTGAAACTTGCGTGTTCTTTCGGTTCCTCAAGTGTTGGGTCTTTATTGACAGCTTCAGCATGTTAGGCCTCTGTTGTGAAATATGTTTGGATTCGTTCATCAACTTAGAAATCAGTGTTCCCAGACCCGGGCAATCGGCAGATCCAGGACTAGTAACCTTCATGTAAGCAGTCAAGATGGCTGAGCTGTCCTAAAGAGCCAAACCTGTCTTTGTTAAGGCGTCAAAATTAGATCGGGGAGAGTATTGGATTTCAGTATTGACAGCCTCCCACTTATTGACTGCAGACCTCCTTTTGGGCAGCTCACCATTCTCCTTTTCTACTAGATGCAAGTATTACAAAATAATTTGTGTAATTGAAGTTGTGATAAACATTGTAACGTCAGTAACAGTTTGCGGTTGGAAAAAGAAAGGAGTAGCACGTGTGATTTCCAGAATGGCAGAAGCCACGTCTTATATTCGGCAGGGGTGGGGAGAGTGAGGGAAAGGCTCCGGCCCTCAGAGTGGACTATTTATTTTGCATCTGGTAAAAGGTAAAGGGGGCCTTTTTCCAAAATTGCTGCCCGAGGCCTAGAATTTAAATATATCACAGATGGAAATACTGTATTAAAAATCCTTCTTCAAAATGTAAGTAATATTATTTCTTGATTTTTTTTTTTTTTACTTAAGGAATGTTCCTTGAACCAGTTTCAGAAAATAAACTGTTAATTTCTTCCTTTAGGATCATGAAATTGCCCTAGAGAAGCTGCCCACCCCACAATCTCTTCTGTTGGTATAGTGACCAAATTCTCCAAACCAAAAATCAGGACATCTGTCTTGCCATGTACTCAAGAACAAAGGAACAAACCCATGAAGCTGAAATGAGCTTATAAAATATGCTCATATGTTGAGCAGCCATTGGTTTAGGGGTTCGAAGTGGAGCAGGCTGGGTTAGTGAAAGCTATAGATAATCTCAGACCACCAGTCAACTATTGATTTCACCCACCACGTCCAACCCTTTTCAGAGCTGCTCCCAAACAGCCTAATTAACTGATGTGAATTTCAGCTCCTCTCCTTTTCTCCTTAGTCCTTGAATAATAAGCAGTGAAATGGCCAAAGGCAGACTATAGGAGGAGCAGAAAAGAAAGGCCATGAACTATGTGCAAAACTAAGACCATACCACAAAGAAAAAAAAAAACCCTTAAATTTTAGATCTTTCTTTCTAAAAATCCATTTTAGATTTATTCTCTCTAGATAACTTCTGCATGATATTTCTGTTTCACACATTTTCAGAGATGTTGGTTTAAGAGTCTGTAAACTTATATTAATGGCCTTCCTGTGCTGAGCATTCTGCAAGGTGCTAGGGAATAACAGCAGACAAAAACTAGGCCACAAGGAATTCAGTCTGGCAAGAGAGTCTAGCGAACTGGGCATTGCATTCCAGTATGGTGTGTCATAGTAGGGTATGCAGAGCAAGGACGCTTGAGGAGCACCTATGGCTCTGAGGACAGGTTGTCCAGAAAAATCCGTAGCTAAGCTGATTCTTGAAGGACCGCCATCCCTGGTGCGTTGTTCCACTTTTCCTCTGGGAAAAATGATCCAGTCAGAGGAAGTCTGAGGGTTTGGAGAACAAGGCTTGCCTGGGACCTGTGCATTTATTGAGGTCCACTAACAGAAACAAAGATGAGTTGAGGCTCTCTGGAATAGAGATTTGCCTTTCTCCCCCAGAGATCACCCATAAAACCGCAAAGATTTCATCGTGGCTGTTCCCAAGATGTGGTTCAGGGTAGGAGATATTTTGAAGGTACTCACATGTAAAATTAAGACGGCTACCGCATTTTTCTACAGAGAATCCTTTAGTGCCACCACGTGAGACAGAGGCAGAATGCAGCATTAGAATCTAGATAACATTGTGGTATTCTTCAGGTAAACTGCTACTATTTACAGGACCTCTCTCCATCCGGTCCCTAAATGGTAATATACTCGTAGAAGCTTCTCTGCTGTTCCTTCACCCGTCCACCACTTAGTCACTGCTTAAGAATTCATCATGAGTCCCTTCCTTCTAGCTTCACCGAATCTCATCACTCTCCAGCACCCCCCACCTCCCATTCCACCCTGCCCTCTGACACCTACATACCAAATCCGTCCTTCAGATGAGATTTCAATTTCCTTGACACCTCAAACGAAAGTATTAGTTCATTCCTTTATTATTCTT